TGGTACACTTAGTGTCTGGTACAGACATCTGTGGACAACCAGTGTACAGTGTCCCACCTTTTATAAATATTGGCTATTAACAACCACCCTCGGCTAGTCTCTTCCCCCAAACTCCATTCACAACTGAACAAGAGTTTCATGAAAGCGTAGACACCTTCTCTCCCTTCTGCATGCAATAGCGGATCAGTTAGGGGTCCAGGATGCTTCTTTCCTCTAAGTTGCATGAATTCTACGGTGCAGTTTCTATTCTAGGAGGATCAGGCAAGAGTGTTCATTGCTGCAGAGCTCCTTCCCCTGGTCTAAACTGAATCCCTGATTTCCTTTCTCCTGGGAACACACCTGCCATACATCACATCGTCACTTTCTTTGAAGTGTTAGTGAATACAGGCTGACAACATTCAATGACCATAGCACCTCCTTCTCCATTTTGCCTTTAATCTTGTGGCCTATTCCCTGACTGTTGTAACAAATTTGGAGAAACAAAATATTTTAGAATCAGTAAAGGACAAGTTAGAGAAAATATTGCCATTGCTGTCATCTAGAATTTAAACATTTCAATCTACTTTCAAAACTGATGAAAACGTAAATTTACATTTGGACCAGGGGAGTTAAACATGGAGATAACTATTTGCTTTTGGAGTAAAAACATCTTTAATGAATCTTTTGATACTAATGGCAAAAGAGAGAGAGAGTTGTGTTGAAGCAATCTGAATTTGTGTTCAATTTCATTTGAATTAATACTTGATATGTGTGAACATGAACAGAAATAATAAGAAGTGTGGAAAATTTGGAAATTGATTATACTCAAAGTCACTGGCTTAATAATGCAGGAGCATTTCGCGTCTCTCAGAGCTACCTGACGATGGGGTGACAAAAAGATGGAACTGTGCAAGGCAGGTTGCACCCGGCACACAGGAGGGAGATAGCTGGGGTCTCAGCTTGCTTGGGATTGGGTATTTTGACTAATTCTTCAGGCCAGAGTGATTGTTCGGACTTGTTGGATAGCTACAAGCTGACAATTCAGGAAGGTGCAAGAATGAGAAAATAGAATCAGGTTGAAGAGTGGATTTAATCAACGATACAAGGAAGAGAATGGATCAGCCTGGATCTAAGATCTATCTCAAAACTATTTCAAGAAAATATTTTAAAGGCTCCTCCTTTCTCACACAAAACTCCAATAGCCTAATTTTGCTTATCCATAAAGATTAAAACACATCACTTCTGCCTGCTTCTCTGATCTTTCTTATCTTAGATGATTCAAAGTATGTATTCTTTCCGAGGAAAGATGGCACCAAAAAGCCTGCACAAAATAATAGGAAAAACATGTTAAATACACGAGAAGCCTTTTTACTTTAAGCAAATTTCACGATATTTAAATGAGGCTTTCAACATTTACAAAGAACTAATCCCATTATCATAATTTATTAACCAGATCTTTTGTTCTATGAGGTATTACACTGTTTTTCTATGCTGCCTGTTTTTTATCCTGTGACCTAATTTGCTTAAAAGGAAACTCTTAAAACTCCCTGGTTGTAATGAATGAAATGTTAATGAAGAACTATGCAGAAATCCCCTTTGCATTAGTTGCTCACTCCCCAGAACATTATCATCAATGTGTTTGCCTGCTTCTGACAATGGTAGCGATGTTAAAGCAGCACAGAAGCATCGCCATGCTGAAGGGATCTGATGGAGCTGAGGCATTGTCATCTGGGATGGACTAGGGGAAGCTATCCTTTGGAGGGAGTATTTGATGGACTTGGCTTTCATCCAACTTTTTAACATGTATTATTTGTATTAGTAACTGCATTACTAGAAGCTTTTTCAGAAAATGGCAAAGGAAAACTCTCATATAGATATGTTTTCAGAAGAAATTGCAAGCTTTTAAATTTGTACTCTTAATTTTTCTGTAGGAATATAGAAATTGCCGTCCTAACTATTAAAAGTGTCACCTAGGAGACTGTATAGGACAATGCTGCTCTGTCCTCTAGAGTCTCTGTCCATTGAGATTGACTCAATAACACAGAATAATTTAATAATCATGTTGGTTGGAATGAAAACTTATATTAATCTCAACCAGTAACATGTTTTTGTAAATGGTTCTCAATAATGCTGTGTTACTTATCAAAAACCCTAAAATGGAATTTGATTCCAACTCATGGCAAGCTTCCAGGGTAGAATGGCCCACGCAGGGTGCTGGGAGCCGGATGCTTTTCAGGAGGAAAGTCTGATTTTCCTCCTTTGGAGCAGCTGTTGGTCTCGTACTGCCGACCTTGTGTTTCACAGCCCAACATGTCACCTGTTATGCCATCCGCGCTTCTTGTGTAACTTATAGCCAGTGTTTTATTTTGCTTTTGAGATCTCTGCTGCATGGTTACTGCACAATTATGACTTCAAATAATTCGAGAATATTCATAGTTGAAACTAGCTGCTATGCACATTTTTAATCAGGTATTATAGTTAAAGGAATATGACTCTAGTAAAAATGTCAAATGTAGCTCGAAAAATTGATTCACAGTTTGAAACTTAAGTATCTAGATTGTTAAATATTTTATTTATTTTTGATTATCAAAATATAAAGTGCATTTTAATTATTATCATGTAACTAACAGATTTCATTCTGGAAAATTTAAGGGTGCAATATGCTAATTTTAATTTCTCTTAAAAGCTAAGCTAACATTAAGAAAGCAGGTACATTTTTGGCTTGCACATAAACATTCAATGTGTTTTTTATTTATTTGCAAATATAAAGAAAATCTAAACATCAAACAACTGTTAAATAGAGTTAACTTATCTTCTTTACCCCTGGGGTTATTCATTTATTTAAGGTAAAATATTTTCCTTTTTTATGGTCAAATATTTTCAATCCTTGCTTTGGAGAATAAGACTCTAATCAGTTTGAATTATGTATATTTCCATTTACTTTTACTTTCTAAAAAAATCAAAACCAAGTTACGGCTAGGTGCTCCGCGTCTGCGGTGTCACAGGCGGTCTCCTCCTCTCTCGTTTTCCTCTGGAGACCCCTGGAGAAACGGTTCTGCTAGAGCCCGAGTTTGGTTGAAACACCTACTTATTGGAGCCTTCTTGATTTAGAAAGAGATGTGGGGGGATTCTCCATCTGCTAAGAGAACAGGACCCTTTCGTGGGAGCCAAGAAGAAAGGTTTGCTCCCGGGTGGAACAGGGACTACTCTCCTCCCCTTAAGAGTCATGCTCAAGAGAGACACTGGCAACTTTCCTGGCAGAGATTCACTTCCCTTTGATTTCCAGGGGCACTCGGGCCTCCCTTTGCAAATGTAGAGGAACATTCTTTCAGCTATGGAGCTAGAGACAGACCACATGGTGACTATCGAGGAGGGGACAGACCTGGACATGACTTTAGGGGGGAGGATTTTTCGTCCTCTGATTTCCAGAGCAGGGATTCATCACAGTTGGACTTCCGGGGTAGGGTCATACATGGTGGGGATTTTCAGGATAGAGAAAGACCACCTATGGACTACAGGGGTGGAGATGGTACGTCTATGGATTATAGAGGTAGAGAGACATCTCACATGAACTACAGAGATAGAGATGCTCACTGTGTCGACTTCAGAGGTAGGGATGGGCCACCTTCTGACTTCAGGGGTCGGGGTGCTTATGGTTTAGACTTTAGAGGTCGGGATGGATCCCGTGCAGATTTTAGGGGAAGGGATTTATCAGATTTGGATTTCAGGCCCAGAGATCAGTCCCGTTCTGATTTTAGGAGTAGAGATGTACCTGATTTGGACTTCAGGGATAAAAAAGGGACACAGGTGGACTTTAGAGTCCGAGGTTCAGGTACTGCTGATCTAGACTTTAGGGACAGGGGCACCCCACATTCAGATTTCAGAGGTAGGCACCGGTCCAGGGTTGATCAGGATTTTAGGGGCAGAGAAGTGGGATCTTGTATGGAATTTAAAGATAGGGAGATTCCCCCTGTGGATCCAAATATTTTGGATTACATTCAGCCCTCCACACAAGATAGAGAACATTCTGGTATGAATGTGAATAAGAGAGAAGAATCCACACAGGACCATGCAATAGAAAGGCCTGCTTTTGGCATTGAGAAGGGAGAATTTGAACATTCAGGAACAAGGGAGGAGAAACACAAGGTGCAGATTTTGAACTTGAGTTGCCATCAGACTTTCACAACAGTCAAAGTTCACTTCAAGACCAAGACAAGTCACAGCTCTCTGGAGGTGAACATCAGAGTTCAGATGCTGGTCTGTTTAAAGAAGAAGGTGGTCTGGACTTCCTTGGCTGGCAAGACACTGATTATAGAAGCATGGAGTACCGGGATGTGGATCACAGGCTGCCAGGAAACCAGATCTATGGATATGGCCAGAGCAAGTCTTTTCCAGAGGGCAAAACTGCCCGAGATCCCCATCAGAACCTTCAGGATCAAGATTATAGGACTGGTCCAAGTGAGGAGCAACCAAGCAAGCTTATTCAATTAAGTGGGGTGCCTGAAAACACCATGAAGGAAGAGATGCTTGATGCCTTTCGGACTCCCGATGGCCTGCCAGTAAAGGATTTGCAGTTGAAAGAGTATGCCACACATTATGACTATGGCTATGTCTGCGTGGAGTTTTCACTCTTGGAAGATGCCATCGGATGCGTGGAGGCCAACCAGGGAACTCTAATCATCCATGACCCAGAGGTCACCCTTGAGTACATACCAAGCCCAGATTTTTGGTACTGCAAACGCCATAAAGGAAACACTAGTGGACACAGGTCTTCATGCTCATTCTGCAAAGGCCCATGGGAAGAGGCAAAGCAGGAATTAATAACCTAGCCTCAGCCTCAGAACAGAACCGGACCCATGGGCCACACCTACGGCTTCATCGACCTCGACTCCCATGCGGAAGCACTTCGCGTCGGGAAGATATTGCAGAATCTTGACCCACCGTTCAGCATTGATGGGAAGATGGTCGCTGTTAACCTGGCCACTGGGAAACGGAGAAATGATTCTGGGGACCTTTCTGACTACATGCACTACGACCAAGGTCAAAAATATTTCCGAGATAGGAGGGGAAGTGGCAGAAATTCAGACTGGTCTTCAGATTCAAATCGCCCAGGACAGCAGTCATCATCTGATTGCTACATAGACGATTCTGCTACTGGTTGCTATTATGACCCCTTGGCAGGAACTTACTATGATCCCAATACCCAGCAAGAAGTGTATGTACCCCAGGACCCAGGGTCCCCTGAGGAAGAAGAGATCAAGCAAAAGAAGCCTGCAGGCCAAGGAAAGTCAAGTGGCAAGAAGGAAACTTCTAAAAGAGACAGCAAAGAGAAAAAGGACAAAGGCGTGGCAAAGTTTCAGGAAAATGCCAATGAGGAGAAGGCCCCCCTAGAAGACGTCTTTAAGAAGCCCCTGCCTCCCACTGTGAAGAAGGAAGAGAGTCCACCTCCACCGAAGGTGGTAAACCCCCTCATCGGCCTCCTTGGTGAGTATGGAGGAGACAGTGACAATGAGGAGGAAGAAGAGGAGGAGCAGCAGGCCCCTCCCCCACAGCCTCGCGTAACACAGCCCCAGCAAAGGGAGGAGCTGAGCAAAAAGGAGAACGAAGAAGACACACTCACTGACTGGATCAAACTGGCTTGTCTGCTCTGCAGAAGGCAGTTCCCCAATAAGGAGGTTCCCATCAAACACCAGCAACTCTCAGACCTGCACAAGCAAAACCTGGAAATCCACCGGAAGATCAAACAGTCTGAGCAGGAGCTAGCCTACCTGGAGAGGAGAGAACGAGAGGGCAAGTTTAAAGAAAGAGGGAATGATCGCAGGGAGAAGCTCCAATCTTTGGATTCTCC